GTGAATGTGCTGGTGTATGATCTCGATCTCCACTATTTATTATTTGCAAGGATCATTTTTCATCGTGTGGGTGAGTGTGGCGTCTTTGCCTATGATTGTGTAGTTAAACGTTTTGCATTTACTATTTGTATGAAATAAACATTACAAATACATCACAAACTTACCTCGATCTAACTGTCAATACCTCCTCTAATTAGGTCAAGGTCAGGTGCGCCGGAGTTTATAAAATTCACATCCGGTACAGTAGATGCCAACTTTTTGTTGACAATAACACTAGCAGCATTTTGAGCCACTTCCGTTGACTTGAGTAAGTTGAACTTTTAATTCGAAGTTAGACTGAATAATCACCTTTGGCAGCGATTTTTGTATGATCATGATCTCTTGTTTTGCTCTTCCACTGGATCTCCGTTGATCGAGTGAAGACAGTAAAGTGGGATGTAGGACTTTGGAAATCATATTAATAAAATAATCCATTGAGATGGCATGCTGCTTTAATTAACCGTAGGTTCTCACACTTTCACTTTTTCCTGTAGTGAACAGTTCTTCGGCTTCAAGTATATTATGAAATGAGTAGTGAAAAGCGCCGGCGCGTAAGGGTCCAGGGAGGCTGGGCTGCTTCATCAGGTCCCAGATCTGACCAACACAAGCCTAAACCTCACACAGAACCAGCGTGGCTTGGGAAGAATGTAGATCAACCTACCAAGAAAAAGTTTGTGTTCCAGAAACCAACAGAGGTGTGTATAAATGATTAATTTCACAAGGAATGTTGAAAATTAATTAATTAATGTGACTATAGTTTATTTCTGTTAATCATGCACATGATGCAGCGCCACATTTCCTTTTGAAAAAAGTTAATATATAATAAATAAATAATTAATAAATAGTTTTTGTTAGTCAATATATCAGTGTAAATGTTTTCTCTGATTTCAGATTGAACATGCATTAATAATACATGCTTTATCCTTGCAGCTTATTCGGGAAAAGCCAGAAGAAGAAACAATTATGTAAGTGTATTAAGCTATATCTTATGAAACACTGAACTGTGAAGTTTCATGGAAATATTTCTGTTTACCCTTTAATATTTGCAGTCATTCAAAGTTCTTAGTGAATTTGATGGTGTTTATTTACAGTTGGTTATACCTGTTCATTTTAAGTGGAGGAAGTGTTTCATCTAGCCACATTTAAGTTTACTGTAGACGAAGGTTTTTAATTTTATCTCCTCATTTCAGAAAACCAGGGGTATATGATGTAAGTGAAGGGCCAAGTGGGCTATCTAGGTAAGTGATTGCATCTGATCAAACAATTTGTGATCAATGTACACATATTTTCACTTTCAAGAGTTCACTTTGTTAAAGATACAATGCATAATCATGCACCAAAAACAAATAGCATATTTGTAAATCATTTCAAAGAACAAATATATGTAACTAGATATATAATTATTTTTATAAAATGCCACATGTTCCAAGCATAGAAATTAACCAATAGGTTTTTTAATTCAAATTCCAGATTAAGACTTTTCCCAGTATTCCTAGACCCTAAAGAGGCTGATTGGATGTTTGATGAACTTTATCATGAGTTACCATGGCGACAAAGAAATGATCTCAAGATAAATGGAGAAAGCTATGCACAACCAAGACTTACAGCTTGGTTTGGAGATCTTCCATATTCCTATTCTGGCCTGACCTGGGACCCTAACCCTAATGTAAGTGTCCTTCTGATAAAGTCTTGGCATCTCAGGATTTATGGAAAATGGACTGATTTGTTTTCATGTTTAATTGTAGTGCCTTTTTATTGGAGAGAGGGAGTCTTAATGATTGGCCAATGATTTGGAATGATATAATTTTTTGACAGAAAACATTGGCAACAACTTGTGTTCATTCTGTTTTTTTTTTCATTCATGGCTTGAAGTAAACTAAAATTTGCATCAACTTCTAGTAGCTTTCCAACAAATATATATATATATATGATAATGGGACCATTATCTCTTACTTGACTGTAAAAAAACTTAAATAAAATAATAAACATGAGAACCCAAAACAAGAACTTCATGCTGTTAAAATTTTTGCATATCTCCTTATTCTAGTGGTCTCCTCTGCTGATCATGTTGAAGGACAGACTGGCAGAAGTGACAGGCTACACATTTAACAGCATGCTGGGTAATTTATACCGTGACTGCCATGACAGTGTGGACTGGCACAGTGATGATGAGAAGTCATTAGGACATCATCCAACCATTGCTTCTCTGTCATTTGGTGACACAAGGAACTTTTTACTAAGGAAGAAACCACCACCTGTGAGTCTTTGCTGTTGAATTGGATTAATGGTGTTTTGTTTAGGGTGAATTTGTGTGTGTGTTTAGCTATACTGTATATAGAAGTCAGGCCAGTGTCTCATTGCATCATGTTATAAATACTCTTTAAATTACATTATAGCTTAGAAAGTATGTTGCTTAAAGGGATAATAACTCTTCGTATGAGATTTATATTTCACAATAAAAACATTGCGAATAACTCCTAGAAATATAATATATTGTTTTACCACAAAAATGGCAGTTATAGCTATTATTCTGATATCTGAGCCTGTCTTTAGACCATGTGACCTCCATTGATGGCTATACTCTGTTAAAATCTCTTAAGAGATTTTAACAAAAAAACAATCTTTTTACAAAAAAACCAGGGACTAACTTTGAATATAAAAATGGATTCATTAACCATTGGTAAGTATGGGAAAATTGTTGTTTACTCCAGGAAAATTCATTTTTTGGCCGAAACGAAGAGTTATTATACCTTTAATTGTAATAAAAGGTGTTAA